ATGGTGCTCACAATGTTGGCCACGGTTCTCACTTTTCATCACATGGCGGCGGCAAGCATGGCAAGTTCAAGCAGGGGAAATTTGGGAAGCATAAGGGCAAATTTGGCAAGCATGGTGGGGGCAAGTTCAAGAAATGGAAGTAATCCCTATCAGTCTGCACAAACTCATCTGAAGAATTGCTGATCCTACATATATATTATGGACTAAAGATAAATAAATCAGCTATCAATTACGACATGTAGTTCGTTGGACCTTGTCATCAATTTATTTGAGCATCTTTCACTTGTGTATTTTAATTAGAAGTTACCATCTGTTTTTAATTTCTGACTCGAGTTCTATGTTGCCGCTTGATCCTTGATCTTGGGGAGGTTTCAATGTCAACTCACTATTTTAATTTCTCCCCTAACTATCCTTGCCACTGTGAGCAGCTAACCCACATGGTCATCATTCTGGTTCTGTTTTTGGAGATGCAAGTGTGTAGGGGTTAACTTGAAACAAAGTGACACTTGTGTACATCTTAGTTTGGTCTTTTCTTCTTCTTCTTCCTCCTCTTTTCTTCTCTGGTTTATTTTCTGTACAAAATTTATATAATTCAGATCCTTGACTGCATTCTTGTAGGGTACATAAATTGAAAATTATATAGTCTGTGAAACCCATTTTACCTGTTCTCTTCCTCCTTGTTTCAAGTTAAAGATTGAACAAGAAGGGAGAACAACTTTTTTTCTCAATCTTTCGTCTATGTAAAATAAAGACATTACAATTCTTCTGCTTCTTCGTTTCTGTTTTTGGCTGGTTAAAGGTAGGCCCAATAATATCAAAACAAACCCAAAAAGAAACGCCCATTGGGACGATACATACAGCAACCCATGTCTAATTTGATGTTTATAAGAATTCACCTAATCATGTCCAATCATATATCACATCTCCTAGGCATGGCCTTAGCCATTTACTATGTGCTCCACAAGGCCTCTCTCTCTCTCTCTCTCTCTCTCTCTCTCCTGCTTTGAGTTGCTGTATTATGATCTGGGTTAACAACTTTACTTCTGTTCAAACAGTAAAGATATGATTTAACCAGGAAACGTAAGAGCTTGAATTTGAAATTTTGTTTTCGCACGAACATTTCGCCTTTTCTTTTGCATCAAATAAATATAACAATCCTTCGATTACAAACTTTTAGGGGTGATAGTATGCTAAACACATATTATACAGATACTAAGACTCAAACTCAGGACTTTGTTTGAGTGAGTAAATATTCCAAACTACTACTTGAACTTGGCAAGAAATGCGGCCCTTCAGTTACAAACTTAAATAAATAAATAAACAATTCTTGTATATTCATCATCAACGCTTAATTATATTATTGAGGATTAAGGCATATCAAGCACCATGATTAGCAAGTAGCACGCCACTAATAATGGCGAACTGAACAAATGCATCACAGACGGCATCAACGTGAATGAATATGAAGTGTGAACCTCCCTCCATCATCTATTTTGTTGTTTGAAGATCTTTCACTTGTTTATTTGTTTTCGAGTCTCCGTGGATTATAGGATTAGAGAAACACACTTCAAATTAGACTACTAAGATTTTTCTTCATGCATTTGATATTTTTTTTTCTAATGATTGTGATAAGCAAAGCATTAGTGTGTTGTGTGTTTGAAGCAAAGATCATAATTCATTAGTGTCATCAACGAGAAAAGAAATATAAACAAATGCTGGAGCTGATCCGGCCCAAGTTGGACCCATCAGAACGTGATTGACGGCCAGAGATGGGCCAGGGATCAAGAAAGGCTTCTTCTCTAATAAATCAAATATAAACTGTAACAACGTCACTGTCTCTTCTTTTTCCTTTTTCTTTTTTTTGGTGGCTTGGAGCTCGTCTGTCAAAGATTTTTTTTTTTCATACTATATTTCCTTGTATCTTTTTTATAATATTTTCTTCGAGAAGGTGTTTTGAACCCACCATGTGCTGACAACCCCTCTAATTCCATGTTCCTTGATTGGCTTGGTTGGTTGCTGAGTAAACTCAAATGCGCTTCAGAGAGTATATCAAGGCTTTCCCCTAAAAAGAATCAAATTAAAGCACCAAGGTCTCCCATCTATCAAGTGCCTGGTTTATTTTTGTATGAATAAAGTTGTCCATCCATACGGTGTTACACATGTAGTTAATTTTGAAACAAGCGATGTAGAGAGAGAGGGAGGATTCGAAACAAGACCTCGGTACAAGAAAAATAACTGAACTACTTGAGTTACAAGCCCCTTGCAAACATACAGCTAATTAGCAATAAGATAGACACAAGGTAGGTCTTTTTCAAATAAGCAAAACACAAATTTCACCTGTGCTATCACAGCATCCAATGCTAGAACAAAACCCTACTGCATGTGTTAAAGAAGTTGGTTACCTAAATTGTTTTGTTTGCTTTTGTTTGATGATTGGTTTGGTCAAACTAAAGTAATAAAATTAAGCTCTTTCACTGTGTTAATCATGAAGGGGATTATAAAAAAAAAAAAAAGGTGCCTTGGATCTTGTAAAACAAGGCATGGCAGCATGGCATAGTTTGTTTACACTTGGAGGCAGGCTTTGTCTAACTCAAAACTGTACAAACACGAGAGTGATTATGAACCAGGCAAGCTGGTTCCTTAATATGAAAGCTAGTGGGTCTAAATTTAAACTCACTGGAGGAGGCAAGCTTTTTACAACTCCTTTTTTTGTAAGGTATTGATATCTTTCCCCTTTTACTAAAGTGAGAGGGCATTCGGTTCAAATTTAAACGAAAACGAAAGAGAGATGGGAGTCGTGTGTGTGGGGGCCATAGAAATCACAAATCTGGAAAATAAAGTGCATCAAATTTTCAAACCTTCATGCAGAAGCAAAACACCATTCCGCTAATATTTGACTGAATCGTGGGTATAAAACCAAAAGATACTTATGGCAGAATGGCAGGCCATCGCCAGCAAGGACTTGTCCCTCATTGCAAGCATCAAGCATTAGAAATTGGCTTCAATGGCTTCAAAATGGGTTTGGGGCAAATGTGCAACAACTGTAACCAACTATAGGGTACAGCTTTTTCATCAGGGCCCAGTTATGATTTGCTTAGTGTTAGATTAAGAAAGACCCGTGATTAGTGAAGTAGTTAAGAACCAAAGTCTTTTTAAGCCTTTGACTGGTTGACCTAATATACACTTATACAAAACCCAGCATCACAAATAAGTAATAGTTAACAGAGTACTAATCACTTTCTTATTAGTAAAATCTTACTTCCCCAAGGGGTGATAATACAAAGAGGGTTGTGAATTTCACTTACAGAACAAGGAATTTAATCACCCTCACCCTAAATCCTTTTCCCCCGCATAGAAATTTGGAACAATTAGCCAAATTTATTACAAAAAAACACCCAAAAATAAAAACACATTCTCCCTACCTACTAATAATAATACTAATCTTCCTTCTTCTTTTATGTTCCCTTGATCTAAAAGCTATTAGCTTTAGCCCCCCACAGAAGCTGCAGCATCATCCTCCAAAAAAAAAACCTGGATATCTTCTTATTTGCTCCTAATCTAATCTCACATGCTTGAATCTCCATCATTATAAATAAAATAAAAAAAACCATATATCAGAAAATCTACTTTCTTCTATAATACTTGCTTGTTGCCTTTGGAACTGAAACTAATCTGAGTTTGAGTCAGTAGGTCCACTCCTGAGGCAGGCGCACTTCATAATTCAGTGGCCCCTCTGGCCTTAGTCCCCCAAGCCTTTGCTGAGCCAGCAGTGCATTTCTTCTGGCCAACAGAGCCTCTGCAATATTCAAAGTGGAAAAAATTTATTAGACTGATAGATAGATCTGAAACACCAAACGTTACATAAATGGAAAGAATGGGGCATACCATGGTCCGGAGCTAAACCGGAGTTGAAACGCGGCGGAGCTTGACTGTTCATGTCCTCAAAGTTCAAGTTGAGGGCCTGAACTACCTTGGCTGGGAGCAGAACAGTTGGGCAACCTGTAATTTAAACACAGCATGTTAAACAAAATAGTTCCAAAATGAAACAGAACGGTCCTAATCACAAATAGTTGAGTTTCAGAATCTCAATTTCAAAATTCAAAGAGTTCCCATTAGTACCTGCTTTCTTGCGAGGCTCAGGAGCAGGGTTGGTGTATCTGCGAGGTAAGAACACGCCTGTTCCTGCACACTCCCGTTTGATATTAGATCCGTTGGGCAAAGTGGGACGCACGGATGCATTGTTACGCTGTGGATGTTGATTTTGGTGTTGTTGAACTTGCAGAGGCGGCCATGCAGATTGGGGTAAACTCACACCATGCCCACATCGACCACTCTCATACCCAGGAATAGTTCTCCCTCTGCTTTGGATCTGTTGCTGTTGTTGCTGATATGCTGACCAGGGAAGCTGGCCTTGTTTTGCCCAAGCTGCAGAGCACTGTGGCTTGTTGAGCACCTGGTTCTGCCTCACATGCTGAAACTGCAAATGCCCAAAAAACCCATCATGTTAGTTCACAACACAAGCGCACCAAAAAGCTGTTTTAGCACAAAAATGAACTGGGTTTTACCTGATTGAAGCTCTGGTTAGAGCACAGCCCAGGAGCTGGGTTTTTCACACAAGGCAGGGACGACGGACTGGGGCTCCGAGGTGGGCCCAGAAGTCCTCGGCTATGGTGGCCGAATTTGGTTGCTCCTTCAACCCCATTGGTCATCTTCAACCTCGCAACTTGCCCAGCAGCTGCGTATATCAGATCCCAGGTGTCGTTCTGAGCTCCAAACGGCGTCGTTGGTGGTGATGGCACCTGGGAAGAAGGGCCTGTCGGGCTTCCGTTGCTTGACCAGCTCCCGATTCCGCTCAAAGTCGACTGAGGCGAGCCGGCCATGACCCACTGAGTCAACACAGTAAAACTCGGTCACTCAAAAAAGCTCAAAAATTCTAAACAAACAAGAAGAAGAAAAAAGAGTAAAAACTCTGGTCAGTTATATAAGCTGCGAAAGCCTACCTCGGGCTTGTCTTTGTTGAAGTTGGGGACAGAGAGCTTCTGAGTCTGGTGAGTCTGCTGCAGCGAAGACTGAGCGAGGCGGCGAGTCAACCCGGAGAGGAAGTCCTCTTCGTCGCTGCTCTCAGTCTCAGTGGAGCCGACCACGGACTCGACAGGCGAGCTGAGGGCTGAGTTAGAGTCGGAGGAATCGAACTCGTACGGGAACTCGGTGGGGAACCGGGCGACTGATCTGACGCCGTTTTGGTGGAAGCTGTTGTCGTCCATGTTGTGCAGAACGACGTCGTCTGTTAGGAAGTGGGTTGGGAGATAGAACTCGGGATCGTCCCGTGACTCAGCCATATGAGCTAAAACTGAAAGGGGTCAGTATAAATGGATGAGGAAACTGAAAGCAGAGAGAGAGAGAGAGAGAGGATGGGTTTTGAACTTTGTGTGAGAGTGGGAGATAGTGTTGCTGGTTGGGGAAGATTTAATAATGAGAGCCCAGTTTTGAGTTTGCAGGCTGGGACCCAACAAAAACAACAGAGACAGAGGGAGAGAGAGAGAGAGTGAAGGGATGGGTTGGGGCTTGAGGACGAAGTGGAAGACAAGCTGCCTTTATTAAGGTTTCAGGGTGTATTTGAGACACTGGAAAATACATAAAATAAAATATGAAAATTAAGTGAGAGAGAAAGAAGGCTCGCTCGCTGGGATTGTGCTAACAACTGGATGACTGGCCCAGTGGTTGGATACATTTGTCCTTGTACGTAAACCCCACCTGCCTTTTCTCTAATTTGCCCACCTTTCTTTTAATAAATTACACATTTCATTTCAACTGAGGACTCTATATATATACTTATCATAAAAAATGTTCATTCAGTCAGACTTTTTCTGCTTACGCTATATATATGATTGGAAATTGGAATGAATTGAGGAGGAGAGTCTGCAGAGATTTGTGGGTGCTTGCTTTTTACTGCTTATATAAATCAATAATTTGGTTTTTTAGATTCTTATTCTTTTGTTCAAAAAAGTTTAAGGGAGATTCGCTAGTCTCACTATCAGTGCCGGATAGACTCATAATCTCGAGTTGAAAGAATTTACGCATGGCACTCAAGTGCTAGTTGCCACGGATATAGATTTATGTAAGAAATTATAGATTGCACACTAATAAGAACTATTGTCAGCAAGACTCAAACATTAATAGAGCTACACACTGTGCAAAAACCTTACCAACTGAATACAAGTAAGCCATTGGCCAAAGGATTGGGTTTATACTTTGTTTTAAGGGGTTTATCTTAAGACATGCAATGACACAAAGAAAAACAAAATGAAACAACAAAATAGCATATTGGCAACACTTTCTACTTGATTCTATTTATTGACTTGTTACTAATCTCAATCATTATGAAGTGACCTCTCTATAATTAATTTATTATTTTTATATTATAAATTATATTAGAGAATCGGAAATTCGACCACATAATCTAAAGAGTTGACGTATAAATTCTTTTAACCACTTAAATTACGAACTCATTGTATTTTATATGTATTTGTAAGATAACATCAAAACCCCAACATTAGATTTTGTGTCGCTATTAAGACGAGGGATACCAAAAGTATCATTGCAATGAAGTCAACTGAGGTTGTTTACAAAATACCTTTTTTTTCCCCCCACTATTGTTGATTAAGAGCCATTAACCAGGTCCATTAACATTAATGTCAATCTCAAAGACACTAGTCGCTAATTTACTTGACTGGCTGTTGGTAGCTAGAGATGGCAAACTATATACAAATAGAATAGGTCATGCAATGTCTTCTCTTAATTTCAACAGCTACAATATGTCAATTCTTCCCAAATTAGAGACCAATAATAAGTGATCACCTAAGCAACTACTAGCTACTTCCAAGTTCAAATTCAACTCAATGGCATGAAGAATTCAAAAGTTTCTCTCATAATAATATTATAGAAGATTTGCATAATTCAATGAATATTTGTCCACATATATTATGAATTTACAAAGTAACGCAACTGATATTAAATGTATCGAGATTTGATCGTTATTGATTTTACATAATCTCTTCTTCGTTATATTACGAAGAAATTAAGAGATTGATACTAATTTTTCAGAAGTAATATTTCTCAGTGGACGATCCCAATGCAAATCGGATTCAAATCTCACTGACATTCAAACCTTAAATCCTTTTCCTTTTGCTGCTTTAATTACCTTTTGTTGTTGATTAAGATGATTTAGCAGTGGAACCCGCGACGTAATTTTATCCAAAATTTTGTGTCCTTTGGTCACCGCTCTGCTGCATTTTTCCCTCTTTTTCTTTTTCTCTCCCGACAAAATTAATTATTCAACTTTGTTGTCATTAATTAAAGTAGTAGACATAATCATTTAATTAGCCTTCTAATGTTCATGATTTGCTATTATTATTTTGTTTTCTTCGCCTTTACCTGACATGATCAACATCTCTGCCCAGTAATTTTTTTTTTGCTGCCATGCCAAGATCCAAGGTTTAATCCAATGGAGAGTGATGCTGACCTCACGACTGCTTTTTCCTTGCACATCCAACATTGCAAGTGGCTACAATCTTGTACAATACAACTATTTTGGGTCCATCATGAACAATTTGATTCACTGTAATAACCAATAGCGGAATTAGGAGTTTTAGATTCAATGAGAATTTAACATATGACTTCGAATGTAAACAAACACAATGACATATGCAACTAGGGGCTATTGCACCCCCCCCACCCCAACGCTTCTATGATACATAATCTTGTCCATGCTATATACGACCTTTTTACATACAAATGAATTAGCCCCACAAATAGCAAAACTTAGAGGGACATTTAAACTGTTTTTGTCTGTTTCCTCTTCCACTAATTATGGGTTTGCTTGGCTTTTTATTTGTATGTTTATGTTATAGTTATTAAATATGTATATATATATATTGTTCCCTTCTATTGAGGGACGCCTTTTAGGGTATTTTATATAAAAAAATTCAACGATCCAAACAATTTATTTTTTAAGTCTACATTCATAGATAATCCTTGTAAAAAAAATTGTTTTGACATCCAATTGTATCATACAAAATCAATGAATTAAGAAAGTACTAAAATTTCAATAACAATTGAGTGGTCAAACGATATCGGATTCAAGTTATTTTTTGTAGAGATGATCCCTCAAATAAGCTAATTTGGCCATATATATATATATATTCTTACAAGTTATTGTAAGCAATTTCACCCCTTCAAAGTTAAATTATGAGTTCGCTGTAAAGGTAAATACTTTTAGCCCCTTCACATCAATACTAACATAATCATTTACTTAAGGAGACTTTGTAGTTTAGGATAGAGCTAAAGCTATACCTCCAGTGACCGTGGCATTAGAGCATTTCTAGCACACCCCCCAACCCGGGCAAGAGAGGGCCTAGGCCCAAAAAGCAGTTCTTAGCGGTACAAAACGGCCCAGGCAAGGTGTGGGCTCCACCAAGTCTTGGCAGGCTCGAAGGTAAGAACAGCGTGAGCCGTTGCTCGAGGGTGGTGACGAAAAAGATATAGAAAATAGAAAAAAATTATGAAAAAGACCAAAAATTTCAGATTTTTTTATTTTATAAATACTTAGCCATAATTTTCAATTCCCATATGACAACACTATACAAATTCATCTCCTTATATCTTATGTAAATAATAGTTGTCATGGCAATAGGTGGAAAACCAACAAAAAAATTGTTCGGGTAGGTAGTGCACTAGTCATATGAATAGTAACAATCTTTGCCTCACCTTGCCTTTTAACATGGCAAATGAGTGAAAATGCTCTTCCTTGGCATCCCAAGCTCCCTTTTTACAACCCTAAAATACTAAAAACAAAGCCAGTCACCAAGATTATTGGTGAAATACAAAAGATTGGTAATTCAGTAAAACCTAACCTTGGTGAAATTCCGAAGATTGGTAATTCAGTAAAACCTCATCAACAAGTTTTACCTCATACAACAGAGAATCCGTGACTTGTACGGTAACAAAAGCACAACCCCTGAGTTTCGTGACGTGGCACAAGCACCGAGTATGAGTCGGCAGCTTAACTGTCAATCTGTCCTGCTCCACTACCTTATATACATAATAATACAGAAATAAATAAATAATAACGGAATCCACCGTCTCCGTCTCTTCGTACGGCTCTTTCCCACACATCGTGACGTTTCCACAATCAAAGAGATAAAAAAAAAAAAAAAAAGTGGTAACGCAGTTATCACGACGTTTGCTTTCCCCCCCAAAGGATAAAGAATAAAGGGGCCCGGAGCCGGACCCAAACCCAAACTCTCAACCGAATTTGATAAATTTCCCGCCATCCTGTTTCCTCAGTGGACAAAACCCCGAAAATAAATACGTATATTTCTAATTCTGGAAATAATTCAAAAGGAGATTTCTCGTGGTGCGGAGTGGGGACAAAGACGAAGCTTTAGTACCAGCCAAAATGGACAGCACACAGCACCCCGTTTCTAAAAATTGCGGGAACACTTTTTTGAAAATTAAACTCCCACCTTTCAATTTTCATTTTCATGCAAAATAGAATTTGAGATTTTTTGTTTTTGTTTTGGTTGGGTCTGCAATAAATTTTTTGATTTGATTCGACGGGAAGGACGCTTCGTGCAAACCAGCCCAAACCAAAAACAGGGGAGATATTTTCTTACAAAAACTGACATATCTTTTGGCAGAGTGCTCGTGCCTCATGGTCGGAAGTGGGTATTATTGTCTTTTTGTATGAGGTCTACGTGAGTGAGCTGCCGCAGTCGTAGAGTGAGAGTGAGAACCGAGGTAGTCTGGTTGTTTCGGACATGAGGATAAGATCAGGCCCCACCCTCGCCAAGTCACCGTCCAAAATGACGAAAAGAACCCTCCTGTACGTTAAATACACATCAAATTAAAAATTAAATGTTTAATGATTTAAATTAATGACCTGATTGAGCGATTAGGCCGTAAGAAATTGCCAGCTCAGCCGGGTCTTCCCGCCAAACCTTTCGAATTTCCCGCCTGGAGATTCAACTGCTGCGTCACTGTCAAATGTCGAGGAGTAAGTAGAATGATGTTGCAATATTTTTATTTATCGTCGTTCGAAATTTGAACTCAACGGCCAGATTTCGCTTCCATCCATCTGTTTCTCAAAGTCCATTTTCCCACTAGCATCCAAAACCCTCCTCCTCCTCCTCCTGTTTGGTGGACATATTCTTCCGCTGCCTCGTATCTTGGCCTTTTCTCTTCCTTTTCTGATTCGTTTTTTATATATTTAAATTTGAACGCAAATGAAAATCACTGTCCGTCTGCAGTGTTTGAAAGCTCTCTTATAAAAAAGGCACCCATGTTGTTGAGTGACAGCCTATTTTAGTATGTTGTTTGAAATTAGGTCAACTTGAGTTTGGCAAGTTGGCAACCAACTACACAATTATTTGACCTTTTGCCTTCAGGGTTAACACGTCAGTCAACTTCACATTCCATTCTTTTGTTGTCTTGTCACTATAATTTGTCAAACCAAATTCTTTGTTGGCATAATTATGGACATGATTGACTCCATAATTTCGAATCACAATTCGGTTATTACCATGTCACACTAATGTGATTGCATCCATGTATTAGAGAAGCGCGTACAAAAATAATATATGGTATGAGATTACTGTATTCTTAGTGGCGTACCAAAATGAGTAATTCATATATTCAAAAGAGAATGAATGGAGAAAGTGCGTTATAATGAGCCTCGACTGCAGTAATAACATTAAGATTGAGACAAAGACTTTGAAATATAGGTTCAAATTTGGAAAATGAAAAGTCATATAAAAGAATATGCTGGGTAGGTTCTTAATGATGGGGATTTATAAGGAGAAGGTGAATGTGGGTGGTGCTTATAATTAAGGGCAGCTACCTCACAAACAATTGGCGTAAATGGTAAGCCTTCTTTCTTCAAAGCAATTATGAGAGATCAACCACGTGTCCTCTCTACCTCTGCGCTGGCAATTTCAATAGCAGCTATGGGGGGCCCCCCCATATGTAGAAACTATACAATGCAAAATATACGAGTAAACTAACCCCAAGTAATTTGTTTTCTTTGGTATTTAAAGGCCTGGGTTTCCTTTTTGGTGAAAGAGACCCACGCCGGAGGAAAAACAAGAGCCCCAGAGGGAGATTTGTTTACTCTCTCTGTCTTCTGTCTTGTGTTCGTGTTCATGTTCAAATGGTGGTGTACGTACGGCAATGCATCATGGAGTGTGATGGCGACAAGTGGCACCCATAATGCTGTCCTTTTTAAGATTTTGTTGCCTAATTTTCAAAATTCGAATAATTGGATAGACTAGGACCCGCACCACCACCACCCACTCTCTCTCATGTCACATGCATGCTATGCTATTTTGATTATATTCAAAGATTCAAAGATTTGTGTTAGGAATTTGAAATTATGACGGACAAGGGAGGAAGCTACCATTTCACTCAATCAAGGCAAAAGGAAAGCACCAGGAGCAGCATCACGATTCACATGCCCTGGTCAATGGTCAAACCATCGGGAAGCGTGATGGACTTGGTCCAATGGTGCACCATACCATACGGGTCCGGATCTCTCTTTTACACATATGAACTATGTCAAGTAAGAGCATTCATTATTAGCTCTCTAAGTTAGAGAGTATGATTGGAGTTAAAATTTTATAGAGACCTCTTAAAATAGCTTTTATATGTTTTTGGCTAAGTTTTAACTAAAATTTGTCTTGCTTATGTGTTTTCTTAAAAGGTTTATAGTTTTATACGTTGTCAAAGTTCGACTCTCGTTTTCTCCTTCGTCCATCTTTTACCTTTAGATTTTTAAAAAAAAAGAAAAAAAGAAAAAAAGAAAAACAATTACATGTAAGTAACTAGCTAGAGGGTGAAGCGAGCACATGCAAAAGTTGTTACACTATGATCCACCTTCAAATGGAGTGGGCTAGCAGCCAAAATAAAAATATGAAATGACTCACCAGATCACATGCTCATACCCGTTACTTTAAAAGATAATAATAATAAGCATTGCGTTATTGCGGGATGAATGATCAAACCTTCCAAACAAAGATTCTTAAATCATTTTGGGTCATCAAAATTGCATAAAAGAACCCACTGAAAAAAATTGATTCGTTGAATTTGGGTTTGTGATGAGAATTTGCTGAAACTGAAATTTGGATAGTCAAAAGAATATGAAAGTAATTATTGTGGATATTGACATTGAATTTGGACCTTAATTTATCACAAGGCGAATTTTTTTGATCTGAAAACTTGACGGTGCGTGCCTGATGTGAGACAGAAATGCACGAGAGCGAACGCACATGCTTTCTTTGTACCTTTCGAATAGGCAAGCACATTCCCTTTGGACTAAATAAAAGTGTCCCTAGAGAGATAGAGACCAGCTCAGTCTCGGTGGGCAACCTAGGCACAGCTGTGCACACCTTCATCTGCTTTGGTTTTGGTTTTGTTGTTTTGTTTCGTGATTGTCATCTTCTTCAGACTCAAACAAAGAATTCAAGATTACAAACCCTTCAACGCATTTAATTTGTATCAGAGTCGTATAATTCAAGTGGTTAAAAGTATTTATGCTTATACCTATAATCGCAGTCAAAATAAAATCAATCCCCCGATGATTGTCTGAGCTTAAAACCTATACTCGGGAAAAGAAAAATATTAACATAGAATATGTGACTATATTGTACTTTCTAGTTTGACCCACATAGTTGTGGCTTGGAACTAGATAACAGCATGGGTTGCCATTCTTTTTCAAAGGAAGGAAAAAGAAGCACAGCTGGCTAGACATAGAATAGAATAGAAACCATATTGCCGTAAAAACTGACACAGTGACACAAAATACCAAGTTATGGGGTGTGGGTATAGACTATGGAGAGACATGTTTCATTGTTCTCCGGGAAAAGCCTAATCTGTCGGGATCTTTGTTTTCTCGTATTCTTGGAACTATATGTGTGTATATATATTATATATTTGCCAGTGCACTTTTGCATCACCTCCGTTTGACCTAAACTCAATCTTCCATGTCTCTGCAACATATTCCATTTTCACCCTAGATTAATCGAAGGCACTTTGTTTATAGGGTAGTGTTTGCTTAGCCTCAATTATTAATTCAAACCATTGTTTAAAGAGTTTATTAGGACTAGAAATGGGTAAGTGGTGTCTCAAATGTCCTAAATCGAGGATTAAACTATAAAACACAGCTTGGATAATTGGTTTCTCTACGTGCACACGTGCGTGCGTGTGTGTCTTCCAAGGTCGGCAGGCACTTTCACATATTGTCTAGAACATGCATGATGCATTTAGGCCCACACCACAGGAGCATATAGACATACATGGTCACACGAAGTCCACATGAAACTAGTTTATGGCTCAAGCATGCTTTAACTTGAATAATAATTGCAGGGCTACATTTACAATTCTGACGAGGAGCGCATGAACTCAGAAGAACTAAGATGAAGTTGACACGAAAACGATGGCTACATGAGTTGCATGCGTGTATTAAAGCCAAGTGCCTCCAGCTCGAGAAAAACTTACCTATCCCTTGTTTCATATTATGAGAGAATTATATAAAACATGTTACATGAAAGTTTTACTCCTCCAGCCCCCCTATGACTATGGCCTAGAATTTTGAAAATTTGCAGTTGAATCACAACACAAGTAGAGGCTGAAAATTTCAAGTGCATCCAGTCCATTATGGTCGTTTTTCTTTTATAAAATTATAACTTGAAATAATAAAAATGAAGACAGAAAACCAGGAAGGGTCCTGTGAATTTCATTTATTGAGCCTTGAGAATCTGTTTGGAGAGGGCTCGAAATAGAAAATACATACATGTATGTTACATGATATACAATTAATCGGGGCGTATACGTGGTGTGCACGTTATCTTAAGTGCACAACCAAATCCTCTGCTCAATAATACTGAGAGAGTTTTCAATGAATAATCGACTAACAATTTCCCCCCCATTTATAGTACATGTTATACGTGAATCAACTTGTAATATATAGGGGATCTAATAATAGTTGTCAACGGCAATCGATATTGTCACGAGCGGGACGTTGAATTAAGGGGCTATTTTGCTTCCCACTCCTCTTCAAAGATATCTGCATGGAAATCCCATACGAAATTAGTGATTGAGAGTATCTTGCCATTATTGGGGTGCATGCAAAAGTGCTTTCATTAGAAGTTTCTTTATATGAATCTTGTGATCTACAAAACTTCCTGAGTTGACTTTTTCAGGATATCAGCAGATATTGGCTCTGTAAACGGGTGGAAAGAGTCTTCACCATAAAAGGTTTCACCGGTGCATTATGGAAAGAATTATGGATTCATTACTAAAATGGATGTAACGGGTTTCCTACAAATGTTAGGTGCCCATCTCCATGTTTGAGCCAACAACCTAGCGATTTAATAATCTCAATGTACTTAAATGACAAGGAAGACACACAACAAGGTCAAGGCTGATTTCGGATTACCAAGAGAAGATCCTCATCAGTGCCAAACGATTTCCTTGCTTCTTCTAAGCATGTTGATGACACCCGCTCATGTTTCCTGCACAGTTTATCCGAAGGGGCGCTTATATAAGCTAAAAGAACTTTGGACCACAATAAAACATGAGATTAGTAATTGACAGCCAAATAGAACAGTTCAAAAGTTCACCCAGCCTAAAAGAATGCACATGTAAGCAGAGACTTGTGTGAGTAGATTTTTTTATCGACGACTACTCCCATGAAAAACCAAACTCATTGACTTCTTCAGCACTATCAACTATATTCAAGCGTAATACAGCCTTTCCGATTAACATTAGCTTAATGTACATAGATCTTCGTAACTGTTCTTATGATGAACTTAGTGTAAACTTATTACATGAATTAACATAATTTTTGTAGCTGGACATTAGAAATCACAAATGCTGGATCGTTAAAGAAGCCTCTCTAAGAGTTTGACAAACATAAGGAAGTTTCTACTTTTGACGCCTGTCTTACTGGAAGAAATTTGTTAGCATGGCATGTTCTTAACGGCATAATATCCCACAAATTTCAAGAAGTTTTTGGAGTCAGATAATCACCAAATTGATAGGTCTATCATCATGATTTATACTCCATCAGAAATTTCAACATGAATGAGGATGGCCCAAACGCATGAATAGAAAGATAACATAACAGCTTTTCTTCTTCTTACCCACACCCCGGGCCCCCAAAAAGACAAAAGAGTTGCAATGAAGATACCTTGAACAGGCCGGATCTCTAATCTCAAACTCATCTGTAGCAGAGTCATACCCACATATGATGACATAGTGACCTAACAAAAACAATAAACTATCCAGCAATTAATTCATCTAAACATGCAACCTTCTTTAAAAAGTGGTGGAGAGCAAAAATGATTAATCACGGGATGCATAAAGAAGATCTTTCATCCCAGCAAAGAGCACTTCTTTAGTTAAATTATGATTCTATAAAAGTATTTATGTCCACTTTTTCTTTCTTTTGCCCAAGTTATGCATGTACAGCAGATCTATCCATCTCCCCCCATAAAGTTGAAAATAAAAAGAAATCACAACCCTGAAGCACCTTCTTTACATTGTCACAAACAAAAGGCACAATCATGTCAGTCTCAACATTGTGCAGGGAAAGAAGTTTAATTCAGATTCTAACAGAACCAGTGTAACCAAACATGACAGTCCTACCTGTGTAACCAGAGTTGCTTCCATAAAAGTCTGAGACAAAAACATCGTCCGAACAAGACCGACTGTGACAATTTTGACAGAAATATTTAACATTAGCCCAGAACTTTGATTTTTAACATGTATCTCATACATTCCAATCAAGGGGAAAAAAAGAAAGAAGAGAGTACAAGAAATTTGAACCTCAATTTAAACTGATCAACCAATACAATGGCAATGTACTTTCCACACAAAATCAAGAAACAAATTTCTTCTCGACTGATTGACCTGCACTGTAAAGAAAAAAAGGTTTATTGGAACATGAACATTATGAATAAAAAGGATGTCCGACTCTTGATTTGGGAAGAGATCAAGAAGAGCTGAAATTATGGTCTATATGTTAGCTTTTTGCGGCTAACAATTATACCTGTATACTAACTCCAGCTTCTCGTGCTTTCTGAAATAGTGTATCCACTCGCGCCAGATCATTAGGTAATTGCTCCTGCAGAATAAATGAACCGGAACTTTGTGTATCAATGTGTGAACAAGTATATGAAAGAAGAAAAGTGAAACAACAATCTTTATATCCAAAACATTTTCTTTGGATAAATAAAATGAAATGTCCAAATTCTCATTTATTTTACATACCAAACACAAAAAGTAGCATTTGCAAATCATCCAGAAATAGGTGGCACCCATTGCTAAAGATTAAAATTTCAGCTAATACCAGGAAATCGTGACAGCTAAAGATCTTGCTTACGCAGTTTGGGTCCTCAAGTCATATGATATATGCATATATAATTAATAGACAATTAAGCTAAGAAGTGCATTCTGGAACTTGAAAACAGCCAATATGGTCTAGTTCACACGCACCAGCAAGAAATACTGTCATTTAAATACTTCGTTATTTTAAATGCAGAAAATCACCTTGTAAAATGTCTCGCCAGAATAATTTGGGTTTGCTCCAAATGTCACCGTGTAGTAGGAAAAACTGATAGAGAACTTCTGTAATAAATATGCTAGATCAACGGTCCAAATGCTGCAAACAATATGTTAGCATGCAGATATATCATACAAGCTTATATTGAATATGTGACTGATGTATCAAGTAGGAATCTACCTGCAACTTTTAGCAACAAGAAGGTATCAAGCATTCTTATGATACTCCATACCTATTCCAACTTCACAACAAATTTGTATGAAAATACAAGGGGGGAGGGGGGAACATTCAATCATCTGTTGTTTGAAAATTGAATAAAGGAGGACAAGTATTGCTTGTTACCTCATTTCTGCAAGACAATGCATAAGCTATAGCCTACAGCATGCCCTTATGTAAATAAGATCTTTTAGGAAAGAATAAATTAATCTAGTAATACACGTAAGAATCTAGCATTTTAAACACTAGGTCGAGACTCGAGGAAGGGCTTTCATTCGTCTACACTTTATATCTTTGCCAATCTCAAAAGTCAGAATCCTATAATCGTCAATCAAATTCTTACGAGCAATACTCAAAGGAACATATATAACAGACTATCAGAGAAGGAATTGAAGTTCTGACTCTGTAAAGAAGGGAGCACCTAGTTGTGCAACATAGTTCTGCCAATGTCTGAATATCGCAGCTGTCTATGCCAACAGTCCGAAAAACCATCACAAGGCAGGCGAGGCCACAATCCCAAGAATGTAGCTGATTAATGTGTGGGACCTGTAAGCACCAAGACACGTAAACAAATTAAAACTAACACCACACTTTAATGAATTCGAATCCATTGGTATCAGAGTCCAGAATGAACAAGTTATCAATAAGAAAGGCAGGGACAGAATGGCAATGCACTCACTTCAACAAAGTGTGAACATGGCAAGGCAGCGACATGGCATTTACCATTACTCGATGACTGCCCACATGGGAATGATTCAACTAAACTTGAATGTTCTCCATCTGATTCTTCTTCATCTTCCGCCTTAATAATATTATTGAACAGTAAACATGAAGGCCACATGAATGACCAATTCAGCTATGGTTTTTCACCACCACACTAATGCTCAGACATTTAAATACTCAAAGCGGTTATTTCACTCGGTAGCCCTGTAATGTAGTTCCCCCAAATTATTTAAAGGGTGTATATATATCTCTGCAACCTGTTCCAGTTTGAACATACAAAAACATCAGGTTTCTGGACTAAACAACAAAAAGAAAAGCGAGATCAATTTCTCCAACTGTGAAAAACATGTCGTAATCAAACAATATGCATTTACTATTTCCAGGGAACGACTGTGATTTGAGAGCTTCAGTAAGACTATTTAGTTCTAATACAATTGAGAATCTGAGACAGAATTAAGATGAGTTTGGACATCCATGAACCAATATTGGGTCGTCAGCATACAGAAATTTTTGGCTCTGACACTTATTTTTTACAATCAACTATTCAATTTAAACCCAAAGGTGAAGCTGATACACATCATTCAGAGGGGGAACTCAGGATTTCTGATATTAAAATGAAGCTAAAGGAGGTTCACAAGAACGTATCTTTACACACTCTAACGAGTTAGATAAGAAATCATCAAATATAAGTTATAGAACTGAAAACCTGCACGAAATCGATTGAATTTCCACAATCAAAACGGTCGAAAAATTGAGCAAAGAGCTCAACTTTTACATCTAAATCAACCAATTGAATAAGATAACAAGGAAATGAACAGCATCAACAATAATAGAGCTGAATAATTCATCAAAACAAGACATCAAAGCTCAATATTTTGCAATCCAAGATATCAAAATGAAGGCGCTGCTGGTAGGTGAAGTAATTCAGCTACAGCTTCATCAGATCAAAATCCAATCATTTCTGAGAATAATAAATTGTACAGCAAATGATTAAAAAAGACAAAACCTTTGCGGAAAATATACAGAAAGAAGGAGAAAGACGCGATCCACACTTCGGATTCCTTGTCTGGCTTCTGTCCCTGTCCGATTGGATCCAGCCTGGAAATATTCAGATTCTAAATTCTATATGTCCTGTTTTTTTATCTTTTTTGGAATTGTTAAATATATTTTGGTTTTGTTTGATCGAAAGAAGAAATTTTGGTTTTATTTTTCGTTGTTTCTAAAAAAATCATAAGTCCATTTTGGGCTGACGGATATTGGGTTTGGCGGCAAGTGGACAAGTCGGACTGTGGAAGAGAGAAGATGAAGAAGGCCCAATGACGTTTATTTTGTACTCAAGCTGATGGGCTATGAGACGAAGGGGAGGACATCGCCTAGTGTAATTTTGCATAAAGACATCCAAATTGTCCTAATTAATAGAAAGTTTCCTAACACAACTCTTATAATTTATTAGTGTAGTGATTTGTAGCAATTGTTCATTCAGGAAAGTACTTAAATTCGAGTCTCATCCTTGAATAGAAGAAGAGACTACCAGCTCATCTTGAATCAAATGCTGATTCCTAACAATCGTGTAGTGTGTGTGATTATTGCCCATCTCAATATGAAATGTTCTAAAAAACAAAAAATATGTAAAATAATAGCTTATTATATGTAAATAATTAAAAAACCAAAAAGAAATAAAAGTCCATGTGTGACAATTTTTTATATAAAAAATACATGGATATAAGACGAAAAAAAAAATATATAATAAAAGAAACTGATTGACACCCGTGATTGCAGCGGAGAAGCCAAAACTATTTGTTCTGGTTTTTCTTGTTTTGTAAATACGTGCTATTTATTCAAACCACCAGAGAGTCCGGTGTAAATAAATGAGACAGGCTCCTAACTTCCCCAGCCTGCAAAGTCTGCCACTTGCAGGCCTATTCAAATTTAAATTGTTTTGAAAGTTATGGCCCAAAAGAAGAAAAAAGAAGGGAAAAGAAAAGCCTCATCTCTTTTGCACATGAACATTGGCCTCATGGCAAACTAGCGTCTCAGATTTAGTGATAGCTTTGTGAAATTAGATAAGCTCAGCCCCTCCTCCCTCTGATTCTATAGTTTTAGATGTTTTTTTTTTCTGGTGTCTCAGAAGTTAGTTTTAAAATTTGAAACTGTACGAGTATCTGTGAGGGAGGACTGTACATTACATTTACATGCTAGTATGCTACATGTCTAATGTCAACACTCAACGTTGAAAGAAAAAGGAGGGAAATGAATGCGCAAAGAAAATGCAGCAACTGTGGAAAAGCAACCAGTACCATAACATAAAACCAAAAGTCAAAGATTTTAGCTTGTTGCTTTCGCCGTCACAAACGGCTATATACACAATGCATGCCATATGCTTTTTGCTTTTCTGAGCTCATTGGTTTATTTTTGCAGTTGGGGGGGTCTTGAATTTTCAGTCCTCTTGCTCCTCCTGCAGTGCTCCACTATGCAATCATCATACTTCATAAACACTTGTGGGTCTTTCTTGCCCTGAGGAGGCCCTTTCACCCTCCTTTTTTTTTTAAAATAAAAAAAATCTGTTTCTGTTGGAAGTTGGAAGTTGAAATTCAAAATATAAATATAACTTAAAAGAGTTTTAATAAGAACATGAAAGCCTCCCGACTCATCTGAACAATTTATATTGTATTAACTTTTCTGCACATATTTAACTTTTCTGTAAGAAGATGGGCCAACTTTTCTCAAAAACAAAGATGAATTTTGCAGCTAAATTAATCTCAACTGTGGGATTTTCACTTTTTACTAAAATTCAAGCATAAAGTCCAAAAAGATGGTTTAGAAGGTGATTAGAATAGTACCAGGGAGAGAGATTTAGTCATATTCTACAAGGTGCTTTTTGCAACAGCCGATGGACCATTCGTCCTAC